CTTGAACAAAGAGAGCAGATAGGTTTTTGGAATGGATTATGTTATTCATTTTATGAGATTTGCAATTAATTATGAAATGTTGATTTGGATGTCTGTTTTGGGCTGCGAATTTAAATGAGAGATTGAATTTTCTGTCAACAAGAAAGGAAATTTGGCATAACATATTTTCTCTTTTTTCAGCATCTCTTGCTTCAAGCTTGTCAGATGATTTGTTGGCGAAGGCAACAATTGAAGTCGTTCAGAGCTTAAGAAGAAAGGGTGTAAAGCCTGAAATGACCCGTACAAACATTCAAATGATTGGTGCTTTAAGGTAAGCTACACTGCAATTGTTAGTTTATACTTTATTCCCTTTTCATTGTCCTGTGGGCATGTTATGAAGAAAGTACACGATCTTCATGGAAAGTTAAATTTTGCATTATTTCGTGTGATCACTGGAGCTAGAACTTAAAAGAGGTTGGATATGATATCCAACATGTCAGTCTCTATGCATGTGCTTGTGGTGTAATCTTGGGATTTTCACTGCTGCAAAAAGTGAAACATAGAGCTTTATGCTTTAGATATCAATAATCATATTAATTGTCCAGTCATGCTTCAATGTATAAACCAAAGTATGGTTGTGCTTACAAATGTTGCTTTATGGTTTTTTAGCCGTGCTGTCGGTTACCGATTTGGACCTCATCTTGGAGACACTGTGCCAGTTCTGATTAATTACTGCACAAGTGCCTCAGAGAATGATGAGGAGCTTCGTGAATATAGCTTGCAGGTGCTGTAAATCTGCCCACTCATTTTCTTTTCCTTGATTTATTTTCATAAAATGCCTTATTAGCTTGTTTCATAACTGTGCTCTTATCTATTAAATTTTAACTGTAGGCACTGGAAAGTTTTCTTCTTAGGTGCCCTAGGGACATTTCTTCTTATTGTGATGAAATTCTTCATCTTACTCTAGAATACCTAAGTTATGATCCAAACTTCACTGATAACATGGAAGAGGATACTGATGATGAGAGTCATGAAGAAGAGGAGGATGAGTATGTTTTCTGCAAAGTATGTGAGTTGATGAATAATGCATGTTCTTGATGAACTTGGTACTTAGTTCTGGTCCTTCTTTGTTTTTGCAGTGAGAGTGCAAATGAATATACTGATGATGAGGATGTCAGCTGGAAAGTTCGAAGGGCAGCTGCTAAATGCTTAGCAGCATTAATCGTTTCTCGTCCTGAGCTGCTCTCAAAGCTTTATGAGGAGGTATATATGCATTTATCTTGTCAATCATTTTCTTGATATTATCCTATGTGGTGGCTTAGCTGGACTTTTGATTGATTCATTGGTTTGAAACTGAATATAAGCTTCAAAATGGGTGTCTTAAAAGATTTCCCTCTTTTGACATATGATATATTCATGAGATTATGTCCTGATTTGTCTGATAAATGGGTTTCCTTTACAATTTCAGGATCTCTGATTAATGTCATTGAACATTCAATTATCTTTTTATACAGGCCTGTCCTAAACTGATTGATAGGTTTAAAGAAAGGGAGGAAAATGTCAAGGTGAGCTGGGATCAATCAATTGTTGGTGTTTAGTTACTTTTCCTCTGGCTAGTAATCTGATTATGTTTTGATACAGATGGATGTGTTCAATACATTCATTGAGCTACTACGTCAAACTGGAAATGTTACAAAAGGGCAGATTGATATAAATGAATCGAGGCATGTATCTGATGTGTTTCAAATTTCTCTACATCTCTCCTTTTGACTTTAAATTTACATTACATTGAGTTTGAATGTCTCATGGTGCCCTTTTGAGGCATTTCTTGTTCCCGTTATTTGCTTTTCATTTGTTCTATATTTATCTATCTAGTTTATTCTATGATTTCAAAACCATCCTGAATATTATTAGAACTTCTAATACATAAAGGTGAATTTCAAATTGACTTTGATGGTTTATAGAGAAGCCACTGGGAGGAAAGTGTGGAACCATATATTATGCTTGAATTTAGATATTTAATAAAATGGAATTATTTCATTTGCAATTTATTTCTTGTTTTAAGAGTTGTCTTTTGTTGAATTACTTATATGCTGCTGTTGTATTCTTGTTTTAAGAGTTGTCTTTTGTTGAATTACTTATATGCTGCTGTTGTACAGCCCAAGGTGGTTATTGAAGCAGGAAGTGCCAAAGATTGTTAAATCTATAAATAGGCAGCTTCGCGAGAAATCTATCAAGACAAAGGTAGGGATTGGCAAAATCCGTCATGTATTTAGTGTGTTCATTAGCTCATAATGTTTCACAACTATAGTTGACAACATCTCATTCGCCTGCAGGTTGGTGCATTTTCTGTTCTGAAAGAACTTGTGGTCGTCTTGCCAGACTGCCTAGCAGATCACATTGGATCACTTATACCAGGAATAGAGAAGGCATTAAATGTAAGTAAAATTGCTTAGAGGTGATTATCTATCATGGTCGCTTAATTTCTTACCTGTAGTTAAAGTTATTGTTTTTGCTTTTTTTGATTCTTCATGTCACCATATCTAGGACAAATCTTCAACCTCGAATTTGAAGATAGAAGCTCTTATATTTACAAGATTGGTATTGGCATCACATTCTCCTCCTGTGTTCCATCCTCATATAAAGGTAACAGCAATGATTCTTCCTGTATATCTTCATTGTACTTTTTATCACTAGTATATATATTTATATATATCTAAAAATCCTTGTCTTGTTACTGGTAAGTAGGGTTGAACTCAGTTTTATGTGAATTGTCTCCTTTAAATCTATAGGCTTAGCTATTGCATCAATCTTCCCTACATTTTCTGATATTTGTTCTGATTGTTTATATATATCTATTGGCGCGGGGGTTGGGATTTAAATTAAGCTGCTTATGGAATCTGATCTGAAGTAGGATTGCCCTAGTGGATGCAGTACATTCCTTGGGCTGCTTTTCTAGAGCGTGTAAAAGCAGTTAGTGCTTTGGGCTTTGGATAGCTTCGCCCCCTCCCCCCTCTTTTTTCCTTGAGACTCAAGGTTTTGGCTGCTTGGAATACTCTAACAAGTGAGTCTATCATTTGATTGCTTACTCGGTGTTGGTCTTTGATGTAGCTTTTTGGTTCCTATGGTCCTTACTCGGTGTTGGTCTTTGATGTAGCTTTTTGGTTCCTATGGTCATGGCACTGTGATTATTGATATGATGCTGGCTTTGTCATATTGGGAGATCGAATTGCAATGCTCTAGGTTGATTAGGAATCACTTTGAGGGCGTAGGATTTCATTGTGAGCATTGCCAGCAGAATTGGGAGAGAATTAATACTGGTGCTAAAACTATGGTTCTCTGAGATCTTCTGTGAGTGTTGCCGCTTTGGTGTGGGTGGGAAGGGGGGGGGGGGGTTGAACTTGACTGGCACATGAATTAGGGAGTTCCATTGTGGATCTGGGACTTGCTTTTTTATAGTAAACAGACTGTAATGGTATTACTATGGATTTGGAGATAACTTGGGAGTTGGTACTTGTCGGATTATGATTTGAAGTGAAAAGTAAGCGCTGTTGATGTTGCTAAAAGAGGATGTGTGGAGCTGAATGACCAGTTTGTTTGTGTGTGGTTAATTGGATTCTTGCAACAATATTGCATGATTAGAAATTTAGAATTGCCCATGTCTATCAGGAAGAAATTATGGCTGCTGATTGAGCCTTCTAATGGCATTCACATATGCCTCTTACAGGGTTTTTTTGGTGTAGCTTTCCTTAAAAGTTGTATTGTCTTCTGATTATGGGACCCTCAGCCAGTTCTTTCTACAAAAGGAAAAAATCTTTGCACTAGGGTTATCAATCTTTTTATGTACTTGTTGGAGGTTTAGCAAATTACTTTGGTGTTTGAGAACAACCAATTGACTTTTTGAGCTGTGCTCACATGACGAAAGCCAGAAAGCAAGAGTTTGATTTTTAATTTTTCTGTTATTCTCCTCTGATAGATAGAAAGGACAAATATTCTGTTGATGGAGGAATAAAATCTTCGGATGCTATCACAAGCTACCAACTTCTATTTTTTTTTCTTTTTTCTTTTTTTAATTCCTTTTTTTTTTTTTTTTTTTGGATGAGGTAGGGAGGAGGAGGGGTTTCTCTGTCTCTTTCTCTGAGTAATTTCTTTTAGTTGGAAGTGCATATCTTAATCTTAAGTCGTATTGAATTCATATCATGCAGTATCTCTAATTATTTTATGCATGAGTGAAATGATGTTGATGGTTGGATCAATGACATTACAAATGCTGTTCATGCAGGCTCTTTCTAGTCCTGTTTTATCAGCAGTTGGAGAGCGGTACTGGAGAGCGGTACTATAAGGTAACAGCTGAGGCTTTAAGAGTATGTGGCGAACTTGTTCGTGTTGTACGTCCAAATATTCAGGTTAGATTATTGAGCGGCCTCTTTGTTGTTCAAAATCTTGTTAGATTATTTCCGATGACATGAAATGGTCTTCTGATGTAGGGATTGGGTTTTGACTTCAAATCTTACGTTCATCCAATATATAATGCCATAATGTCTCGCTTGACAAACCAAGACCAAGACCAGGTGAGTGTTATTGGCTTTCTGCTTTCTGGATCTATCGTATATGCATAGTGCCTCATTCAGGAATTTCCCTGCTAAAATTCACTGGCTTCTTATTCTTTTAATGTTGCTCTCTTTTCTCCAGGAAGTCAAGGAATGTGCTATTTCTTGCATGGGACTTGTCATTTCAACATTTGGTGATAACCTCAGAACAGAATTACCTGCATGCCTTCCTGTACTTGTTGACCGGATGGGGAATGAAATAACACGACTTACTGCTGTGAAGGTCAGTTTGTTTTACTTTTGTGCATGTAGCTATGCTTTTCTAACTGCAATGTCTCTTAACTAAGCCTTCTCATCTGTTTGTTACTGTTATTTGTTTAATGAATTTACATGAGTCGGTCATCATAGTGTATGATTACTTATACCTTTTGAATTTCTGAATTCAGGCTTTTGCTGTCATTGCTTCTTCTCCTCTTCGGGTTGATCTATCTTGTGTTTTGGAGCATGTAATTTCTGAGTTAACAGCATTTCTGCGGAAGGTGTGGAGTTTGTTTACTTGCTGTCAAAAATTGATGAGTAATATAAGCCCAATATACACTTATATGATTTCTGACCTCTGATTGTTTTGGAAAATAGGCTAATCGGGCTCTAAGGCAGGCAACACTCGGGACACTAAATTCCCTAATTGTTGCTTATGGTGATCAGATTGGTTCATCTGCATATGAAGTTATTATTGTTGAACTTTCAACTTTGATAAGGTTCATTATTTTTCATTTCATTCTCATGGTGACCTTTGAAGTGATGTATGATTAATTATTATGTTATTCTTAATGCTTCTCTTGTTTGGCTCGTATTTCAGTGATTCGGATTTGCACATGACAGCTCTTGCTCTGGAACTTTGTTGCACTTTGATGGCTTGCTCTGGAACTTTGTTTGCCCTTCTGATGGCTGAGACAGGAAGATCAACCCAAATGTTGCTTGGCTGTTAGAAATAAGTTTCTTCCTCGGCCCTGAAATTAATCCAAAAAGGCTCGTTGTTACAGGGTAAGCCCCTTTGTACTCATCTGGCTACTCCCACTTATTATAATTTTCTTCATTCGAATAAATCTTAGTTGCTCATATTTTGCTTTTGAAATTGCAGGCTTTAAACGAAATTTTTTTGCTGCAATTAGTCTACTTCTGCAAATAAAGTTTTGAACACATTGCTGGATTCCCCTTCTTGTTATTCTTAATGCTTCTCTTGTTTGGCTCGTATTTCAGTGATTCGGATTTGCACATGACAGCTCTTGCTCTGGAACTTTGTTGCACTTTGATGGCTGACAGGAGATCAAGCCCAAATGTTGGCTTGGCTGTTAGAAATAAAGTTCTTCCTCAGGCCCTAACATTAATCAAAAGCTCGTTGTTACAGGGTCAAGCCCTTTTGGTACTTCATCTGCTACTCCCACTTATTATAATTTTCTTATTGAATAAATGCTTAGTTGCTCATATTTTGTTTGAAATTGCAGGCTTTACGAAATTTCTTTGCTGCATTAGTCTATTCTGCAAATACAAGTTTTGACACATTGCTGGATTCCCTTCTTTCAAGTGCTAAGCCGTCTCCCCAGTCTGGTGGTGTTGCAAAACAGGCATTATATTCAATAGCCCAATGTGTGGCCGTTCTCTGCCTTGCTGCAGGTGATCAGAAATGTTCCTCTACAGTGAAAATGCTGACTGACATTCTTAAAGATGACAGCAGTTCCAATTCAGTAAGTTTCTTTAGTATGCTTTTCTAACTACCTAATGATCTTTTGCAATACTCTCTTTTCCTTGATGGATAACTTTTTTTATGTTTACAATAATTATTATTAGTATTAATTGAGCTTAAAATTTTTCTTGTTTGCTCTCTAGGCTAAGCAGCACCTTGCCTTGCTATGCCTTGGGGAGATTGGGAGAAGGAAGGATTTAAGCTCACATGTACTGATAGAAACTATCATTATTGAGTCCTTCCAATCTCCATTTGAAGAGATAAAGTCTGCTGCTTCCTATGCTCTCGGCAATATTGCTGTTGGTAATCTATCCAAGTATCTGCCTTTTATCTTGGATCAGATTGATAATCAGCAGAAGAAACAGTATCTCCTGCTTCATTCTCTGAAGGAGGTAGGTTTTCTGATTTAGGAATCTATGTTGGGTTCAATCTTTAGTTCAAAAATACTTACCTGTTTTAATTCCTAACTTCCTCCACGATGAAGGTTATTGTAAGGCAATCTGTAGATAAGTCAGAGTTCCAAGATTCTAGTGTTGAGAAGATACTTAAATTGCTATTTAATCACTGTGAGAGTGAGGAAGAGGGCGTTCGAAATGTTGTAGCTGAGTGCCTTGGTAAAATTGCACTTATAGAACCTGCAAAACTTGTTCCTGCGCTTAAGGTATTTTACCATTAAAAATTAGCACATTGGATTTCGTACTTATTTAGTATTTAGTGTTTATTGGGTATGGTGTTTGATTTGTACCCTAATTTTCATAAAGGTGAGAACAACTAGTCCAGCTGCATTCACCAGAGCAACAGTGGTCATTGCTGTAAAATATTCAATAGTTGAACGGTCAGAGAAGATAGACGAAATTATATATCCTGAGATTTCTTCATTCCTTATGCTCATCAAGGATCATGATCGGGTGAGTTTTAGATTCAATAATGCTTTGAGGTGGGTTGATTGGGTCTTCAACCTGACAGCTATTTTCGTATATTATGTGCAGCATGTTAGGCGTGCAGCTGTTTTGGCCTTAAGTACATTTGCACATAATAAGCCTAACCTTATTAAAGGACTTCTTCCAGAATTGTTGCCACTTCTCTATGATCAAACAATTGTTAAGGTAACCTGAAAGTCCTGGAGTTTCTTATGCCTGTGTTGTATTTTAATTTGTCCTTTCAACAAGTAAATCAAAACTTTGGTTTATTTATTTATTTATGTTTTTCCTTGTACTAGATCATGGTTTTATTCCAAATGAGGGGTGTTCTACTGAATTTATAAATTAGGAAACGTAAAATGGATAACAACTTTGGTATACACTTGTTTGAGAAAACTAGATTAGTATTGGTCGATAAGGGCATCTATATTTTTAGTTATTGAGACTTGTGATTATACCATGCTGGTGGTGCAATCCCTGTATGATATATAAGTAACAACAAAGCGAGAAGGGGAAAAAGTAATTAGAAGTGTGTTGAACAAAGTTTATTTTGGAGCGGACTATTGAGTGCAACATAATGAAGATGAAGGAAAAGTGTAATGACTCAATTGGCTCACAAGGATATTCAATTGCTAAGGTAGATCTTGTATATTGTATTAGCTATCTTTGGAATTATTGAAGCTTTGTGGTGATTGAATCTCTCCTGAATTAGTTCATACCTTTATATGCTCTAGATGCTACTTTGTTCTTTATTTCTTTCAATTATATCTATTATTTTTTTGTGCATATCCTTCAGTATGAAAGGGAGAGGATCAGATGTGTCATTTCCATTTTTGCCCTGTTATTACACCCTTTAGTTTAAAACTTTGTCAAGTGTTCTTGCCTCGACTGTTTTCTTTGTTATTTACCTGTCAAATAAACAATTAAACTGTTTATATAATGAGACCGATTGGAGTTTGTGGAGACCATATTTGCTGTTATTTACTGTATTTTTTATTATATTGTCATTTGAGTTGATTTTTGCTGGTTATATTTACTAATTGGACTGTAACAGATGCTATCGATTTATTGATCTAAAACTTTTGCTTGGTGCAGCAAGAGTTGATACGGACAGTTGATCTAGGCCCTTTCAAGCATATTGTTGATGATGGACTGGAGTTGAGGAAAGCAGCATTTGAATGTGTAGATACATTGTTGGATAGTTGTCTTGATCAAGTAAATCCTTCGTCTTTCATTGTTCCTTACCTCAAATCTGGTCTTGATGGTAAGTGTTAAATATCATCTATGCAGTGATCGCACATTGTTTTGTTAATTAATTCATTCATTTTGCCATTTGGTTGGTTTATGCTACAATGTTGGCTTTCTAATTTCAATTGCATATGGGAGCTTTTTCACAAGCGGAAGAAACCCTTTGAATTTGTTCTTTTTTCCTCTCTACTGTATCAATCATTTATCTTATCACCTAGACTAACTTGGTTTTTTGGGAATGTTCCAGATCATTATGATGTTAAAATGCCTTGTCATCTTATCCTCTCAAAACTTGCAGATAAATGCCCGTCTGCTGTTTTGGCAGGTCAGTCAATTAATCAACCTCTAAAAACTCGAGTCATCACGTGTTACAGATTTTTCTGATTTTCTTCTTGAAATTTCCAGTGCTGGACTCTTTGGTTGACCCTCTTCAAAAGACTATCAATTTTAAGCCAAAGCAAGATGCTGTCAAGCAAGAAGTAGATCGTAATGAAGATATGATCCGCAGTGCTCTTCGAGCAATTGCTGCGTTGAATCGCATAAGGTTGGTTTTAAACCTCTGTAAACTCAATTCAGCAAATTAATTGAATTAATTTGATAGAATTTGGCATAAAAAAAAAAAAAAAAACTAGCTTCTGTAGCATCTTCCATTGTGTCTCTGATGGTCAGGGTGTTATGAGATGCATTGGGAATTTGGTTAAATTAATATTCCTTTATAACTTTTAAACTCGGTAACAGTTGTGTGTAGTATTCTTTAATAAATTGCATATCTTGCTTTAATGATTAACCATTCTTTAGGAAGGTTATTTAGAATTTGACCACTATTAATCAAAATAGCAGATAGGATCCCATGTACAGGTGGTTGATCATTATTTTTTATTTTGCAGTGGAGGGGATTGCAGCCTTAAATTCAAAAACCTTACGAATGAAATTTCAAAATCGCCTACACTTTGGGACAAATACTATTCCATTCGGAATGAGTGATGACCAAGTTGATCCTACTATGAAGTGGTTTCGGTGAATTGCACGAGGGAGTGATGATTATCATTGTTTTGATGTGTTGTGCTATACAAGCTCCCTTGCATAGAAAAGCAAAAGAAATGGAAAGGTTATAGCCCCCAGTTAAAGATGTCTGATGGGGTTGGATTAAGAATGCTGAAGTTTTGGTTGAAGAAGCTGATACTTATAATGCAAATACAGGCTATGGATTTTTATGTATAGGGTCAAGTACTGATCTTTTGATAGTATTTGCTATTGTTAGAGTTGCAAATGCAAATGCAAATGTCGCTTTTTCCATTTGGGGAAAATGCAGTTCTTATTACACAATGGTTGTACTGATTATTTCATATGGATCAAGATAGAAGATGACTGCAATTTTTTAGATTCAGTCTATTGCTTTCTTGGGTCTATTTTGGCAAAATTGAATTTGATTTTGGCTTGATCGTAATTTACCATGACCTCCTTACAGCAGTCACCTTTGGCCCTTGACTTCAACTTTTGACTATTATTATCGAAGGACGAGAAATCGATGTTAGCATCAAACGGTACGTGAAATTTCTATGTTAGAGTTTAGAATAATATCAAAATACATTTCTAGAGGCTAGTTCGAAGCTGCCACTCAAGTTGGTCTCGTTTTTTTTTTTTTTATTAGAAAATTATAGTATGAATTTTGAGGTTTGCCAAATATAATTAGTTTTTTTTGTCTTTTTTAAAATATACTAATTTTTCTCTTCCATTACATTGCAATCACCTTCTATCTAATTTTTACATTTCTTTTATTAAGTTAAACTAGAAAATATAGAGGTCAAAGGAGAAATATTAAAATATTGTATCGAAAAAATTACGATCGCTATAGTTTGAAAAATACAATTAGTGCGTTCTTGTGTTTATAAAAATATACCAAAAGTAAGGAGAAATAAAGAGAATATTTTTATCATTTCATAAGGTATTTAACAAAAAAAAATGTAAAAATTAAACGGAAGAATCTTATAGTCTGACGGAAGTAAATTATAAAGAAATTTTAGTCTATTTCCTGAAAGATAGGAACAGACTAGTTGTATAAGTATGCGGTTTCCACTTTTAAACCGTTTGGATCGGTTAACAAGTTTATTGACTTTCAATTTTTTCGATTTTCGGTTTCGGTGCGGTTTTCAGAATCGAACCGCTCGAATGCACACCTCTACCAATCATTTGTAGGGGGTGAGCATTCGATTAATCCGAATCAATCCAAACCGAATAACTTAATCTAAATATAGCCGAATTTCATAAATCTATTATCCATTTCAAACTATATTTAAAATAAAATCGAAAATAACCAAATCCAATGATATGCGGTTTTATTACAAAAAACTACAACCGTTCGAATAACTGAATTAGTATTTTCAGTTGGTTAATTCAAACCGATTACGAGAAAATATCCAAATCTAAAATTTTTCAATATATGTGTTATTGTCCCCAAATTTGCAATTTGCACTTTTAAAGCAATTATATACATATGCTTATAAATTTATAGACAATTGTATAGAATAAAAAAATAATTTGATTAATTTGGATTAACCGAAGTTTTTTTCAAACTAACCGCACCATAATCGAAAAAACAAATTAATATTTATAACTAACCGATCCAAACTAAAACTAATCTATTAGCAGTCAAACCAAACTAAAATTAATTGGTTCGGTTTGAATTTTCGGTTATATCCGCGAATTTGCTCATCCCTAGTCATTTGGCATCCTACAAAATTATGCATAGTTTTTGTTCTATTGTCACGACGTCGTTGAAGTAAACAATGTCTCTAGCTGGGCCTGAGCCTGGGCCTATCTCAAACAGCAAGAATCCAGAACCTACGATCCAATCGGGATATGGACTGCCAACTACAGGATCTGGACCAATGACCCGACCGTCCAAATTGTTATTGGGTTGATTATAAAATTCAGAGACCTTTGAGGCCTTGAGGGGCATTAATGCAATTCAAAATCGAAAACAAAGTAAAATGGAATTTTTGATGGCACTTTCGTGGTTTCAGTTCTGATAGTCTTGTCTTTAGGGTTTCTGTTCTTTGGCTGTTTCTCTGTTATCTAACAAAAATATCTTCCCTTTTTCTTTCGATCTCTACAAATTAAACTAAAATATTGAAATTCAAGGTCTAGCACATAACTAATTAAGAAAAATGCAAGGAGGAGAAGAAGTAAGCATTGAGGAGCTCGCTTCCAATCTTTCCACATACAAAGAACAGCTTCACAAGGTACTTCTCCTTCTCTGTTCCATAATTTTTTTTTTATTTTTTTATTTTTTATGAGTTGGTGTCTTGAATTCTCTGAATTGGGTATCACGAATTAGGGTTTTTTTATTTTATTTTGTTGGTGGACTTATTCTCGAGGTTGTTCCGTTGAAACTTTTGTTTGATCATGAGTTTTGCGGTTGTGTACTAATTATATGACTTAAGATTATATTGAGCTAAGGTTTTTCTTCAAATTAATTTTAGTTATTTTTCTTTAAATTAATTTTTTTGACCATCTCAAAGAGATAAATAATCGCATTCTTGTATTAAATTGACATAAGGAGCTAAATTTTGGTTTTCCTGAAACATTAGGCTCTTAGATCCATTTATCTACTAAATTTTGGTTGAGAGACTGTAGTTCTGAACTTCGTTTTATGTTTTTGTGACTAGAGGAAAAGTAGAAAGCATAATTAAGATATTGAATCTCATGATTGGTAAAAGAAGAAAGCCTTGTGCACTGAATTTAAATTGTTGATTTGTGTTGTTGACTGGATATGCCCATGATTCTAAAAACCTGAATTATGACATATGTTTGGCTAGCAGTTGATCTACTTTGTGGTAGTAAAAGTAATAAAGAGCTGCTCAATGTTTGTACACCAAGTAACAAGCCATGGTTTCTGAGGAGTTCCTCATAGCCACCTTTTCAATACAATTTCTTTTTCCTAAATTCTTGGCGTTTCTTGTAACGATTATGCAACTGGTTGGTTTTGATGGTGTCAAATAGCCTGTTATTCTTGTGGATCATCTGTCGTAACAATCTAAAATGAATAAAGCAGTGGAAGAAAAGTTGGAGCAAATCGACCTTTGTGATTTTAGTTGTTGGGCAAATGGAAAACCAAGATATTTGATATTTTCTCATTATAATTCTTTTTTTTTTTATTTTTTTATATACTGTACACTATGTAGAATTATCTAGCATTTCTTCATATGTTGCCAGATCATTTGTGTGATGGCTTCTTTTTTGCTTGTGGATCAGGTTAGACAGATCTTGGCTGACGATCCTGATAATTCAGAATATGTGGACATGGAGAAGGAGCTTAATGAGGTGATCTTTGCGTATGGTTTTTTTTTTCCCCCTTCATTTATTAAGTTGCATATTTTCTCTTTCCTTGTCTGTTTTTCTTGGGCAGTTTCTTTTGAATAATTATTTTATGGAAATAGTTAACTTCCTCTCTAGGAATGAGGGATCATAAAACAAACAATAGGTGTTTCTGTTCGGGTGTTGGGTAGATGTTACTATTTCAGCGTCTAGGTTTTTGATGCAGTTGTCTTCTTTTTATCTCTTCCTCTCCTCTATCTTGAAGGATTCAACATGTTGCTCAAACAAGCAACATTAATTAGCTGCTAATGGCTTCCGTGGAGATTTGTTTTCATTTCAGGGTTGAAAAGGTGAGGTTGGTTATTATGCTAACTAAAGTTCATACGCTCCTGAAATAGGAATTGTATGGAGAATTATTTTAAAAAAGTATTGGAGCTGTTTGTAAAACTTAGAACATCAAGATGCCCATCACTTCTATCTTGGTTCATTTGCAGGTGTACTGTGTGTCGTGATGGTCAGCCCGCCTCTCTTCCTCACCTGATTTGAGATGTTCAGTCTGAGATTCTGATTCTAAGTCTGATTTTTAATGGATTGCCATTTATGGCCATAAAGATTCTGTTTCACATTATACTAGGCTAACATTGTCTAGGTGCAGGTCATTGCTTTGACGGAGGAACTTCTTGCAACTGCAAAGCAAAATGAGATTTCTGGATCAGATATTGGGACAGGAATTAGTGCATCCCCTAATCTGCCCCAATCTCAGGTGAATGAAACTATAAATTGCACTACTTTTGCTTTGTTTATACATGTTTTGGGAAGTGTATATTATCACAAGATGCAATAAGGAGTGTAAATAGTTTATATAAATATATCATAGTTGTACATTTTTGTAAAGAAACATGCTAGGCACTTACATGATGTTTTTTCCTCTCAATTAGGATCTAACGAACATTGCAAATCAATATGAGAAGTTTCCTGTTGGTACTAAAGTTCAAGCTGTGTGGAGTGAGGATGGAGAATGGTAAGTGATGCACATAGAGAAATTCAATTTAATTAATATTATTTAGTTTCATTCTTTTTTTACCCTGTTTTTGTCTTTGTGTGTTTGATTAGTTAACTGTTCAGGTACGATGCAACGGTCGAGTCTCATACTCTAAATGGATATTATGTTACTTATGATGGATGGGGGAATAGGGAAGAGGTAAGATTCAATCACCTCACGTTAAAATCATTAATGTTTTCATGCATGTAGATCACCTTGTCTGAGGTTTATCCTATCTATCTGGATCATTGCTAAGTCTTGCAATATGTGGAAGTATATTGGAAGTATCATGGAGGGAAATGGACCATTGCCGTTTCACCAAGATTGCTTATAATTGTGATCTAAATCATAACCTACTATACTTGATCTACAAGCCAAGCCTTGTTGCATTTCATGTCGCCTTAGGGTTTCCCCCCGGGGGGGGGGGGGGGTGATCTAAATGCCAACGCCTTGTTGCATCTTCCATGTCCGCCTAGGGGTTTTCCACCCGGGGGGGGGGGGGGGGGGGGGGGGGGGGGGGGGGGGGGGGGGGGAGGAATCAAGCAGTGTAAGAAGTATAGTGTTGAGTAGTCTTATTAGGCTAAATTTTCATTGCTGAACTACAAGGAAGAGTTAAGTGGCCATTTGTTTATGAATGAAGAAGTGGGCAAAAACAGGCTGTGTCTAACATTTTGGTTAGCCATTATGTTATGGGCCAGTCTGATATTTATATGGGAATGAGGCTATTATCCTATCATCATTGATTTCAATTAATATCATGGCTGTTATACTATATAGCACTGTGGCTATTATTATTATTATTATTATTATTATTTTTTTTTTTTTATGTACGCTGTGGTAGTTCTTTCTAGAGGAGGCAATTGCCTGCTATTACATAACTAGAGTGGGCTAATTAAATTTTTATTGTGCAATATTGTTTGTTGATTTCTCTATGATGCATTTGACTACTTTGAATCATACAGTTGATGTTATGTTCCTAATAAGTGGTAATCCCAGGTGGATCCTGCCAATGTAAGACCAGTTGAATTCAATGCTTTACTGGAAGCTGAAAAAGTTGCTGAAGCTACAAAACAAGCTATCAAACGGAAGATTGCTGAAGCTGCTCATACTGACTACCAATCACGAAGTTTGCCAGCAAAGCTTCGAATAAACACTGATGATCCAGAGGATGTGGTAAGCCGAACTATGTTTTTTTTTTTTTAACTGACGGAAAAGTAAAATTATTTGTTTCCTATTTGGAATCTGGTAAGTATGAAAGGATTTTTTTTTTCCTTTCAGTTGGAAAGTATATGATCATATTGGGTTTCTGTCCCATTAGATGAGGCAGATTCAAAATGATACCTTATTTTCTGCGTTACCAGGGAAACCCATATGCTTCTATGCGTTACATCTACAACATCACCTGATCCCAAACTCGTTGTTTTCTAGAGATGTTTGGTTGATTTATAGTTTATATCATCAATCTCACTGATAAAATGGCTATATATTATTTTTTCCATTCTAGTCCACCTTGAAGGATGCTGTTAAGATATTCTTTATCGTCCTCAATTTTCTCTGTAATGGAGATGATTACCTAACTAGAAGTGATTACTTACAGAAATCTGCCAAACGTAAGAAGATACATGCGTTCAAATCAAAGATGCGTTTTGAGCAACTTGAAGTTGCACAGAATAAGCGGCAGAATGCATGGCAGCAGTTCCAGACATCTAAAGGCAGTACTAAAAAGGTACACACTCGCAAAATTCACTTTTTTTAAAAAAATTATTTTTGTAGCATTAATTCTATCTTTACTGGAAATGCTCGTCTGAAACTAAATGATTGACTATCCAAACTCTGTATGTCTGGACTTTTCTTCCCCGGGAACATAGAGTTTTGGTCTAATTGTTCGCAGATTTGATTGGTTACATTGATAGAAGTTCATTCCTGGAGTGCATTTAGAAATCATGATGCGAATGTGTAATGTGAAACATTTGAGCAATTACTTTTTCTTGTAAATCATTCTGGCCTTTACCTGTACGAGTTTTTCCAGGTGGGTTTCTTCTCTGGACGAAAGCGAGAGAGCATTTTCAAGTCTCCTGATGACCCCAATGGCAAGGTTGGTGTCACTGGAAGCGGCAAGGGCTTGACGGAGTTCCAGAAAAGGGAAAAGCACTTACATCTCAAAGGTGGAACTATTGAGGCTGATGATTAGATTACTTGTTGCTATGTTATTTCGTCATCATATGTAATTTACTCCATGAATTACAACTTTTGTCAACTGATGCACTAGTATGGACACCAATCGAAGTGTTGTAGTAATCAGATGCAAGTCTGTTGGCATATAGTACATGCCTATATAAGGATTTTTCTTTAAGAATGTGCCATTGGCAGATCTCTGGGTATTACAATTGTTTAATTCCAGCTAAATTAGTTTTCTTTCTGGGTGCTATATAGTTATTCGGTGCAAGCTTAGCGTTTGCTAATGGCCTGAGGTCATACGAGAAGGTTGTGCTGTGTCATTTCAAATTTAGGCCTTTTACTCCATTCTTCTAGAAATTAGCTAATTGATCATATTTGGCGTTACTGTTTTAATTAGTCGTTAAAAGAGAATACCGTTGGAAATGTTTATTAGAGATTAGTGAAATTTACCATACCGTTGGAAGTGTTTATTATAGATTAACGAAATTTATTTTTAAGGTAAATTTTATGTTTTAAAATAAAATATTCAAAAAGACTAAAATCTTTAAAATTGTAGGCCTAATCTCATTTTGAAGAAGATATCATCTCATGCATGTGCATTGTTAAAGTTTCCCTAATATCCCATGAAAGTGATACATGATATTTTTTGGAGAAAGATATATATATATATATATATACCTAATAGTACCCTTTGATGAATGGGAAGTGAGTCAGGTGACTAATCATCTTTTACTTCCTTTTCTTTTTGGTTAGCCAAGTGGCTAACCTTGTATGTGTAAAGAGGAAACAACTTCAATTGAATAGAAAAGAAAAACTTTTGCCTTTTCAATATCTATAAGCATCTATATAATGGAAATAATAGATAAGCATCTATATAATGGAAATAAAATTATTTCCATTTGTGATTTTTTTATTCCCCACCACTTAAAAGTATGCCAGTAATTCTATGAACTAGATAAGCAACCAAATTCCATTGATGGAATATAATATCCATAAATTATAAAATCCAAAAAATTCTCATATTTTATCATCTTGTTAAAAATAAAATAAAATTCACAGATTTGAATAATTTTTTGAAAATAAAACTAAGAAAAAGAAAAGAAAAGAGAATTCGTCAATCAAACAAAGGAATTTGATAAATCCATAGAATGTTCAAATTCCATATCGTTTATTTCATCCATCCTAACAATCACTAACTGATTTTAATCTTAATTAATCATGATTTGATTTCATTACAAGGCTTCTATATATATCTCGTCTGACTTATGGATCGTGTGCATGTCATTGTAAAAGAAGCCATCATCCAATTTATGACCAAAAGAATGGAGCTCCATTTCCACAGCAATGGTAGGGAACCATGCTTGTCTTTTAGCCCACATCTTGATGAATATCAAACCAGCGGTGTTAGTGAATGGTTTGTGCAGGTGAGGGGCCAAGCCAGGCCCAATATCTAGACATGTTTGACGACATACAAGGTACAACAAACATAGAACACAGAACATTATCTTTCAGTATATATATATTTTTTATCCAGTGGTAATCTCTCCGTCCATTTCTAAAATAACTTCTCTTTTTGATAAAAAAAAGCTAAATGTCTGTTGGACAATATTAGCTGTTTTCGTAATTACTTAACTGTTGTAGTAGATGTTAGTTATTCTAGCTCTCCAATTCTGCGGATTGATGTGATAAGAAAGTGAAATCAAATTGACTAATATCAATCACATAATGAAAAATTATATATATATATTTTTTGAATTTCAGAATATGAATGAAAGTCCCTCTGTGATATTGAAAGAGAAAATATAAATCAAAAAAACTTTAAATATTGTAAAAAAAAAAATTTATGTTTTTCTTAAATGTTGAATTATTATGTTCCATATTCATGCATCATATTATAGGAGTTAGATTGCTCCAAAAGACATTTGTTCAAGTAGTACAGCACTAACCAAGCACTATCATATGCTTCCTTTTTATTTATATTCATTCAAAGGAAACTTATGAGGTCCCCATGATCAAACAAATTGCATTATTGTTCAAGGAATTTAAGTTGATGTATGTACATAAAGGAGAATGCAATGAATCTTGTAAATGCGTTTGAAATTGACATAATGCATAAATTTAATTCTGAATTTTTATCGATTATCTTTATGCTTCTCGAGCTTCACGAGGATTCAATTAAAATTCTGCACTTTCACATTTTAATAATAATTATGCCTCTAGTTAAAATAAAATATTTTTACAGAGATTCAATCATAACCCTACATTTTTACATGTTACTTCAGCGAGTTACATAATTATTATTAAAATATGAAAGCGCAAAATTATAATGGATTCTCTACAAAATTCAGGAACTGTAAGGATAATCGTCAAAAGTACAAGATGAAATTTGTGGATTATTAGACGGTCTGCAATTATAATTCTTCTTGCATCCTTAGCTGGCACTTGAAAAGTGAATATTCTTTTCTCTCTTCCAAACTTGCATCTTAAAATAATCATTATTCTAAGTTAATTAACCTATAATTTTCATGATATATTCCTCTAATAAAACCCATAGTGAAAATTGATTCATAATATCATCACACTGTAAAACATAAAAAAAAAAAAAAAAAAGCTTCTATTATTATGTATGTTATATCCTATGTCACAGTTGACAACTTATTGAAGAGTCCCCATGATTTCAAGACAAATTGCAGTTCTAATTGTTCAATTGGCGGGAGAATTTCACAAATGCGATTGAGGTGTAATACATAAAAGGAGAAATGCAATGAATCATGTGTAATGCGTTGTGACAATTGTCGTACATAGATATCTGCAAAAATGTAATTCTCATGAGAGATGTTTATCAGATTAGCTTTAATTGACTTCTCGATAGAAGACGTTTGAGCCTGACGAGGATTCGTCAACGTACAATTCCTGAGTTTCCTATTGCGTTCAAGCTTATCACACATCTTGTGTTAGTAATTAATTACTATGGGCGTTCTAGATTAAAATCTAAAATAGACTGTTTTTAACCTAGCATGTTCATCAATATACCCTTCTAACAGTTATTCTACATCGTGCAATGACGTCAGCGAGGTTTACGATATAGACGATAGTGTTTATTAAAGATATGGACACAAGCGCAGGAAAAGATGTGTAATCGAACCATGCGGGGACAGTGTCTCGTAGGTGACAGAAATTTTCGAGAGCAAGCACTTGGTGTGATGACTGGATGAGTCTATACGTCGACAAGAAGTTTGACCAAAGGTACGTTATGAAGGTACAGTTTGGGTGGATTTCATTATAGTTAGAGGCCGGTCGGAACCTGAGCGGAAGCTGCGTATAAATCACTTGCTCTTGGCCAGTCCTTTAGTCGTGGCACTTGGAAAAAGTGTAAGTTGATTGCCTGTGCTGATAGTCTGTCGTCGTCGCAACTGCTCTGCACTCGTGTACAAAATAATCAGTTATTTCCTAGAAGGGTGTGAGATGTACTACTTCAGAGTGTTTTTGCAAGTGGATAACTTCAATTTCCTCTGTAGATAAAACCCATATGAAGGAATTGATTCCAAAGCGTAGATGCGTCAGAATCCACACTGGTAGTGGAGAGACGTCTGAGTAATAAGACAGATCAACAACAGATGAAAGATAAACAATGAAAGTAGAGGGCACTATAATATGATTGCCGTGAGAAGAGATACAGAGTGAGAGAACAGGGGAAGATGATATCTAGAAATGCAGGTAAGCGTCTCCACTGCTGAAGTTAATCTCTATCTTGCAGAGCTTGTTAGATGTTATATACCAGTTCATGTATATCATTAGACAATAGCGCTGAAGTATATTGGTGGAGTGAAATGTTGATGCCAAGTACATAGTTGAGGCGACACTGTGCTTATGCGTGCGCGATGGGCCCGAGTATTCCTACTTAATCGACGAGGTAATTGTACGCGTTAGCGCAGCGGAGCAGTAACTCGTGGCACGCTGATAAGGGTAATGCTGATGAAGTATAGTTCCAGCTCTTAAACCTCTAAAGGGGTATCATAGAATCATTTGTCATACTCCAATGCTTATTGAAGGGATTAAGGCATATAAGCATGGTTCTTGAATGGTGTAAACACCCTCTCCATTAAGGTTGTCTCTCCGTATGCTTCGGTTGGGTCGTGCTTGATCAGGAGGAGGATCGGGATTATTAATGCAGAAATAGGTCAGGACATGACAGGGTCTGCCCAAATCTTGCACTCACCAATACAATGGGATAGTGAGTGAGGAAGGTGTGAGAAGGTAAGCCTAAGAACAGCAAGAGGAAAGCCAATCTAGATAAAGGTCAAGCCTGGTGTTCCCAAAAAAAAAAAAAAAAACATAAATAAACATAAAACTAACAAAAAAAAAAAAGGAAATAATAATCATATTTCATAATTCTTTACTTATACATTATAATACAAGCCTATAGATAATTTCAAGCAATTAAGCTTCCATTGCCTATCATATGTATATAAGTAATACTATATATTTATATATATTTCATTTAACTAAGGTATACTTTCATCTCCAATGCTTTTTGAAGGATTAAAGCTATAATGGTTGAAGTAATCCTCTCCTTGTGTCTCGTGCTTCTGTGTGCTTGATAAAGATGGATTATAAGAATACCATCTTGCCCAAAACAGATAGTTGAGGAAGTTGAGGAAGCTAAGAACAGCAAGAAGCCAATAGAAAAGGTCAAGCCTGTCTTTGTTCAGATTATTGTCACTAAGCCATCCTTTTTTTGTTGAAGAACTTGAAGAAATTTTGTTCACTAAAGAAACCAGTAAAGAGCTTAAATAAAACCCAAATGAATATGAGCAATAAGTTATTGCTGTTAGAAATGCTTGCATCCCCTTTAAAGATTGCTTGTAAAAGAACTCAATTAGACCAACTGCCGTAAGCATTTCTGATAATCCAAAGATTAAGAACTGTGGTGTGATCCAAAAAATTGATATTATTTTATTCGAATCGACGGCTTCATCCCTTCTCTTCTTCTCCATTATAGCAGCAGCAACCATTGAAAAGGTAGCAAAAAATAAACCAGTACCTATTCTTTGTAAGGGGGTTATTCCTGATTCATGGCCTGTGAATTTTCTTGCAAAAGGGACAAAGAAGGTGTCATACAGAGGGACTACAATAATAAGAATAATATAAGGGATGGATTGAAGTGAAGCAGGAGGGATTTTGAAAGATTTTGTAAGATGGGTATCCATGGAACTTCCTTGTTGGACTGAGAATGTTTGGAGTTGAGCTAAAATGGTGTTGAAAATAATTGTGCAAGCAAATATTGGAATAACTGAAATTAGTATTTTGACTTGTTCCACTTGGGTTATAGTGCATAATCTCCATGGACTCTCCTTTGTATTACTCCCGTCTTGAATTTTAATGCAAGCCTTATCCAAGAACCTGAAAAATTGTTAAAGGCAATAAATTTAGAAAAAATGAAATCTTTGCGTCGAGAACCCGAATCAATATATAAATTCAGAAGTAAAACAAATTAACTCAAGAAAAAAAAATTCAAGAAATTGATGATAGAGTGTGAAAAAGTTAAAGAAAAATTTAAAATTACCTGAATCTTTGAGTGTGAACAAGTTTGCCAGAGTCTGAAGATATGCCAATTATGTTATTATTTGGCATATTATTTTGGCTTCCATGTAACATTTCTGGATTAGATGGACAAATTTGTTTTCTTTTTAATATGGCAGCCACAAAAACCTGGCAAGAATAGAAAAAAAAGAAAAAAAGATAAAGATAAAGATAAAGAGAATCCAATTAGATTATTAAAAATGATCATGTTCCAATAAATGATTAGGCTATAAGCTCTAGGGAAATAGTATGAAAACCTCCTCTAACAATGAGTCATCAGACAACCCTTTTAATCAATTGTGATACAACCTTATGCTATTCAATAATGCACATGTTAATTTTGTCTCTTATGGTATAAGCAAACAAAAATTTATACATATAATACGTTAATTTTGTCCTTAATGCACGTGTTAAGCAGCAGAATAAAATAGATAAGCCCACAATAACTATTCAAAACCACTAAATCAAAATATATATTCCTGATGGACACTACTAGCTAGGGAATATTAAAAAATTATATTTCTTGGTCATAATCAACAATCTAATGATGACTAGTTCTGAAATATAAGAAATTATACATTTATATGGTCATTATCCAGATGAAATAGTAGAAGGAAAGTGTGAATATTTATAAATAAAAATATATATGCATAAAATATGCGTAAATTGTTCAAATATCGAGTGTCTGTCTAATAAGATAAAAAAACACGTAAAATTTGAAATATATCTGATAACTTAATTTCCACGTAAAATTAAAAAAATAAGAGAGAAATTAGAAATTACCTGAGCAATGGGGGTGAAGATGCTTCCTTGAGGTGGTTTATTTCTGTAATATAAAGTACCAGAAACCAAGCTGATGAGTCCCATAGCCATAGCAGCTGCAGAAACTCCAAACCCAACATCCATGCCAGAATGTGTTTGCACCCAAACAAGAACTGTTAGGGCAATAAGTTCACCCATGGAGAAAGCAAAATAGGCAGCATTGAAGTAGGTAGAGAGCTTCTTGGATTGCTTTTGGTTATTTTGGTTGAATTGGTCAGCCCCATGAGCTATCATGTTGGGTTTGACACATCCACTCCCTAATGCCACCAAATATAAAGCCACAAAAAAGATTAAGGCCTTGAACCCTTTTGCCTCTTCACAGTTATGTTCTACATTAATGTTGCACTGTGGGGGCTTCAGTTGTGGAAGATGAGCTTGGACTGATAGTAGTATGAAACCCTAAAAATTCATTGAAAGAAAAAAAGTAAAAAAAAAAACATTTGGGAAAGAAATTCAAGATTATCCTTTTTCTTTTGGATTATATGAAAGTTGCCTTTTTCTTCTTTTAATCAATTTGAAGAGTCTGTGTATATATGATTAATAAATTTTGATTTAATGTTTTTAAGTCGTTTCTAACATCATAACATTCCTTTGCTCAATGCTATTAGTCACAATCACATTGATGGGAGAAGATATTTTTAGAATATTCTCTATAAATATGAAAATTAATTTTTATCCTCATATATATGATGGTGGAAAAAGGGTGTGGATGATGCAAATGAACTTTTGGGATATTTTATTTTATTTTCTCAAGGGAGAAAAATTAAAAAAGAAAGAAGGTATTTGAGGATGAGTTGAGAGAAAGGTTAGCTATGGCTAGAAAGACAAAAAGGTGGGAGGAGAAGAGAGGGGAAAAAGGTGGATGATTGATTGGAGAGAAAGAAAAGAGACTTACAGACAGTTCCACAAAGCCAAAGATGAGCATGGTCCAAAAACACCCAAGATAAGAGTCTGAAAGGTAGCCACCAAAGAGGGCCAAGATAAAGACAGTTCCAACAAAGTTTGTCACTATATTTGCAGACCTTGACAAAGAGAAGTGCATCTCATTCATCACATAAGTTATCAGATTGTTCCCTACTGCTGCTATTCCCATTATCTCAAATGCTTGAAGCCCTGAACAAAATTCCATAAACATTAACTCATTTTTTGAAGAGAGTCCTAACATATATAGACAAAATAATGAGTAAAAATGGAGAGAAAAAAAAAAATCATGTTCATACTTTATGTTGTGGAATTTTCCAAAATATTGACTCCAGTTGCTTTCACTACCAAAAATCAAACTTTGTGCAAAATACCCATTTTCTAAAAGTTAAGTACCACTCATTTGAAAAAAAAAAAAAAATCATCCTTCGAAAAGGAGACTTTTTGCATAAGCAAAATGGTATAGCACCTTCTCGTGGTTGAAATGACATTCATAGACTTTACAAACAAACTAGCTAGTGCTTAATTTAGTGGTAAAAGCTAGACTATCAGGGTTTTAAATTATTCTCAACAGCAATTTTCTACTCTACACTTATTCAAAAAGAAAACAAAATCCCAAATAATCTCATATTACTTACAAGATAAAGAAAAATTTCTTCACAATAAAAATTATATATGATTGAAACCCATGAACAATATTAGCAAAATCACTCAAGCCAAACTATATATGTGTGTGTGTGTGTGGGAGAAAAAGATGAAGAAAGAAACCTACCAAGAACAAATGTTGCAGCTCTCATTCCTCCATGCTTGTTAGGGTTAGAGGGTCTGCCTCTCCAATCAATTGTAGAAGTATTCTCTTCACTAACAATAGCACTACTACTCTTGGTATCTCCTTTGTTATTATGCCTTCTTCCTTCCATTTCCGCTCTCTTTCTTTCTTTCTTTCTTTCTTTCTTACAAAGAGAGAGCTTTCTTGGAATAAAGATGAGAAACTAGTATTTGTTGTCTTACTCTATGCTGAAATTGAGGCAATTGGCATAGATTGTGCTAAATTTATAAGGAGAGAAAAGGCTAAAAGCTTGTTCGTAATGAAACTGCCTAAGAAAATATGTCAAACCCACACGCACTTCAACTACGTGGAAAACACTTGTAACAGGGAAAATTTTAAAAAGGTGGTTTTGCATAATTTCTCAAACCCAATTAATTATTTTAGCACACAATTAATTGGAGCTTTTTTTGTGGGTTGTATTTTATTGGATAGAGTTGACATTTGGGGTTGGTCTTTTTGGCCTTCTTTGGTGGTCCACATTCTTCTTCTTCTTCTTCCCTTCTATTATATCTACTTTAAAAAAAAAAGGAAAAAAACTATTTCTTTAATCCCATTTAATTAATTCTTAATTCCCATTTAGAACATTTTTAATGAATTTAATTGATTTAAATGTGGTAACAATTATGTAATCTCATTTGCTCCTTAGATTTTCATGTCACCACCAAGAAAAGGACCACAATGTCACAAAATAATATTGTTGCACGAGGTTCATGTTTTTTTTTTTTTTTTTTTTTTTTTGCTTGGGTTATAGGTTAAGAGGGTCCGACCTTCTCCATCAATTGTAAGTTAGTTAGTCTCTTCACTAACAATACACTACTGACGTGTACTTTGTATCAGCTGTCCTTTAGTTTATTATGCCGTTCTTTGCCTTGATGCGCGATGTTTGTCACCGGCTCTCTGTTCTTTTCTTTCGTTTGCTTTCTTTCTTATCAAGAGAGAAGCTTTCTTCTGAGCGACCGCACCGAGCTCGCGAGGACTGGGTGCGCGAGTTGCAGCTGTGGGCGGCGACGGTCCGCGCTGTCTCGAGTAAGGTTGCAAAGTTCGGAGTGATATGATGGGTATAGTGTAGATGTCAGGCGAGCAGCGCACGCATAGGCGATGACATACATGTGGTAATTATCAGAGGCTTGCTGTATCTAGGTTGCTCATTGCCTAGGTGGACAGCACGTATTGGAGTACCGTATGTCCGGCGATCAGTGGGTTAGGCCGGCGGTTTGACAGAGGAGCCGTGTCTGTCTAGTCGCTGAGAGCGGGATCGATATTAGTGTTGAGGGCGCAAGAGTCTGAATCGAGGCAGGTTTGGAGCATAGGATTGGGTGTCCTTAAAGTTTATAAAAGAGAGAACGAAGGATGCATAAGACAGAGCTTGGAGGTTTGCGTTGGCTGATAGATGTCGGAAGGAGCTGTATGTTGGGCCTAAGAGATAATAGCTGGTCAAACTCCCACCTGCCACATTGGCAACTACGTGAATAAACACCTTGTTAGCACGAGGGAGAAATTCTTAATAAAAAGGAGTGGTTTGCAAAGTTAATTTCTTTTCTCAAACGGCCAGAGTTGAGTATTTTTGAGCACGGCACAAGTAATTTAGGAGGCTGTGTTTTTTTGGTGTGGGGTTGTATTTGAATTGATAGAGTTGAACAATATGTGGGGTTTGGTACGTTGTTTTATGGCCTTCTTTGATTGGTGAGCCACAGTTCTGTTCGGCTTCTTACTTGACCTTTTTGTCTCCTTTCCTATTATATCTAGCGTTTATAAAAAAAAAAAGGGAAATAAACTATTGTAGTTTGCTTTTAATCCCATTTAGATTAAGTTCTTAATTCCCCGATTTAGGAACATTTTTAATGATTTAATGTGATTCTTAAAATGTGGTACCCCATTATGTAATCTCATTTGATTCCTTAGATTTTTCCATGTCAACCCACCAAGAAGAAGGGAGCCACAATGTGCCGTACAATAATAATTGGGTTGCAAGCCGAGGTATTGCATGCGGTTTTTTTTTTGTTTTTTTTTTTCATGATTAGTTCGCTTGAATGTTTATTATCATTGTTTTGTTCCCTGCGGTCAACTTGTTATAATATGTGTTTGGTAAATATCAACCCTGATTCCTTGAAAAGCTTTGGTGAAAAATTGAGTTAAAGAGTTAGAATACCGCGTAATCCAATTTCCTACTGACACGCTATATGGAAGTTTGATGAGATAATTATCAATTATATATAAACAGGCATAGATAAATTTTTATTAATTCTATTAATAATAGGTTGAGTGACCGAAAAAGTTATCTTGTGAGAAAAATTGAATAAGATTCACAGCGAGTCGTGGGTTCAAGCCTCATTGTTCCCTTATCAGCCCCAAAAACACCTAATGGCTAGGCCCTTCCTATCTCCAAAGTAAGTAAGAGAGTTTGTTGGATGATGTGAAAAGATTTCTTAAGTATACAGAATTTTTTTTCCCTCTTGAAATTTATTTGTACTTCAAAAAAAGAAAAAAAAAAAAAATATATATATATATATATATAGAAGTTAGCTTTATTTAATCTTATTCGGGATAGTTAAATGATCTAAGTTTTGTGCTATCTGGCTTTGAATAAAAGATAATTGGTGTATTTAGCTTTATTTTTAATCTTATTCCGGATATTAAAGTCTAGTTTTTCTATCTTGCTTTGAAAAAAATATTATGTTATGTGCTATCTTGAATGTTTAATTTCTGACACATGAGAGGCCCAATAAACCCGAATAACTAATTAATTTCGACCATCTTTAAAATTTATTTGCAAAATAATTTTTGTTAACTTATAACCAATGTAAATATTCAATATATAAATAACTTTCTCAATTCTTCTATGTTAATAATAATAATAATAATAATAATAATAATAATAATCATAATAATAAGTTCAAAATTTATTAACCAATTATCAAGTGTTGAAAGGATAAAGCTAAATACAAAATTCACTTATAAAGTTTATTATTTTAATTTTACGACACTTTCAATTTTTTTTTATTCATCAAAAACTTTAACTTATAAAATTTACATCAATTAGACTCTTTAACTTAAAAATTATTTTATATACATCAACTTACAAAATTAAATCAATTAAACGCATATTAAATAGTTGAAAATTATAAATTATTATTTCAAAAGCTATATTAACCACGTATCAAATGAATTTTTTGCATATAAAAATAAAAAACTCTAAGAACTATCATTATTATTTTAAAAATGTATACAATATTATAAAAATAGAAAATTTAAGTGCACAATAAATCGTCCATAAAATTTAGGATGACACAAAATTAAAATTGAAAAGTCGAAGGTAAACTTATGTATTCGGCGAACAGAATGATAATAATAAAAATAATCAAGAAACCATTTGTCTTTTCCTTTTCTGAGAAAGAACCATTTGTGATAATTATTATCTCACTGCAATGTACAGTAGTGCACTATGCAAAACGACATTCCGTCTAACTCTCAGTCGTTTGTCACATTCCTAATATGCTTTGTTTTTCGTTCTTACCCATCATGAGAAGAGAAGAAAAGAAAAGAAATCTTTGTGATAATTATTATTATCTCACCGCAATAGAATAGCCAAAAGTATACCTACGGGTGGCCACGGTTCCAGAACTGCCGGTTTCAGTTTCGAAACCAAATCGAAAATTAACGGTTTGGGTTACGGTTTAGAACTGAACGGTTTCGGTTTCGGTTTCAGTTCCTCAATGATTCCAAAATCGACAGTTCTGGCCAGTTTTTTTGCCGATTTTTGTACGGTTCCGGCCGATTTTGGACGGTTCCAGCCGGTTTTAGATGGAACTAGAACCGTCGGTTCCGACTGGAGCTGGAACCGCCAGTTCATGGTTCCAAAACTGGTGGAATCAAAATCGAACCGGTTTGAACCGATTTCGGTTCCAATTCGGAACCGATGGTTTTAGTTTCGAAAACCGGATTTTGGCCACCCCTAAGTATGCCATATATATCACAACCAACATTAAAAATGTCTTGTGAAAAAAACAAAAAAGAGAAAAGAAAAGAAAGAGGTTCAACCACGTTTAAACTGAAATCATCAATGGGTTAAAAATCTCCGCAAAACTAAAAAAATCAATTTTAAATTCTTATTAACTAAAAATTTAGTTAGAGAAATCATAAACGAGTGATATGATATATCATGAATGAATGTTTACGAATCATATTAAATAAAGTTTTGTAATTAAATTAAATTAAATATATAAAACAAATGAATTAGGAGCTTATAACATATAAAAAGTGAGTAACAGAGAAATGAATGTTAGGACAAAGTGAGAAGCTTTTATTAATTTTATCAAAGTTTAAAGAGACCATACCGACAATATTGTAAAAGAGTAATAAAGAGAAGGGGAAGGAGAGGGAGTAGGTATGGCCGGCAATGCACATGGTGAATTTAAAATTATGAATTTTGAATTTATTATATATAAATATAGAGTGCAGTTTACTGTTAAAGACCTAATATATGAGCAGTTAATGTGGGTGAAAACAGGGACAAGGGAACCAAGTCAAAAGTTTGTCGGTGTTAGGCAAAGAATTGGGACATCTGCTTTAATTTTTTGCATGATCCTCTAATTAATTAAGCTTCCATTGGCTTAATCAATCTCTTTTAGGTGGATGGTTTGTGTTTTTTTTTTCAATGTATGTATTTCAAGAACTAAACTAATAATTAATCGTGTTACACTTAGACTCTGTTTCTATTTATTTCTGGAAAATAACTTATCTTGGATTTTTGAAAAATATCTTTTAAATAAATTATTTTATGTTGTTTGGTTACAACATTGAAAATTAGTTAAAAAAATTTAAATTTTTAACTGTTATGATTGTAAAAATATTTATAATAATAGAAATTTATTATTTTAAAATTTTTATTATTAAATAAGAGAAAAAATTTAAAAAAATAATAAATTATGAAAGTCGCCGGTAATCAGTGGTGATAGATTCTAGTGGACAGTGACTACCGGTGATTAATAAATTTATAAAATTATAATAAGTTTGTCAATATCCAGAAAATGTTTTCTTCTCTTGAAAATGGAAAGTCATTTTCCTTAAAAAAGATTTAGTTTTCCTTTCATCAAAAAAATATTTTATGTTGATTTATTATCTTGAATACTCCAAACTACGAAAAGTTGTGAAAAATATTTTTCTATAAATTATTTTATGAAAATAAATAGAGCTTTAATAATATCGTAATAATGTATTTGAAATCTTTCCCCTTTAATA